AAAAAAAAAATATCACATCTCATTTTTATTGATTTGCTGTGAAAATAAAGAAAATCAAAAAAAAAAAAAAAAAAAGCTGAAGAGTTCAGAAAGAGATGCGATTTCAAACATTCATTCTCGAGAAGTGTTAAGACACGACATGTTCAACATCTGTCGTCTGGCTTCCCACATGTTTTGCCCACAGGACTGTAAAATGAGAATANATTTTTGTGAAAAAAAAAAAAAAAAAAAAAAAAAAAAAAAAAAAAAAGCTGAAGAGTTCAGAAAGAGATGCGATTTCAAACATTCATTCTCGAGAAGTGTTAAGACACGACATGTTCAACATCTGTCGTCTGGCTTCCCACATGTTTTGCCCACAGGACTGTAAAATGAGAATAGATTTTATATAGTAAACATGAAAGCTAAGATTCCCGGTATAAAATAAATACAACGTCTCAGTAGGAATAAACAAAACCTAAGGAACCAAAACAAATCATCACAAACCATGGGGCTGGATAAACAGTTAAGTGTGTTCGCTGTGTCGAGCTTACATGCATCTCTTGCGGGGAGAAAGCGACTGTGGCCAGAATTACATCAGCCCATCAGCTAATTGCCATCCCTGCCACACTACATTTCTCCGCACTAAATCTTCCTCGTATGAGGCGAGGACCCTGAACATCCAAGAGCCATTACACAGCGTCCCGCCATCAAGTTGCCGAAGCTCACGGGGGGGAGGTGGGGGCGGCGGCAAAAGTCAGGTAAGGGCAGTCGTGTCTGATGCAGGAAGTATCCGAGCGATGCGCAGACATGCAAGAGCCACGAGTGTCGTCTGATGTTTAGGGAGTGGAGCCTGATTAGAAAACATCGAATCTCAGATATAATGTATAAAGAAAGTGTGAAGATGCTCTCAAGTCAAAATCCAGGACTTGCGCTCCCATCCTAGTTCCACTTAAATCCAGTCCAGTCACAAGAAGCAGCAACTTGCCGCATTTAAATACAAACTTAAAGTAACACTTTGACATTTTGGGAAATACACCTGTCGGCTCTCTGGCGGAGAATTAGATGAGGAGATTGAAGCCATGTCTCATATGTCTGTCCAGTCAATGTGAAGCTACAGCCTGCAGCTAGTGAGATTAGCTTAGCACAAACACTGGCCTGGCTCTGTCCAAATGGGTACTAAATAACAGGAAAGCTGCAACAATTAGTCAATTAATCGATGAGTTGATGGATTTTTGATAATCCATTCGTTTATTCCATCGGTTTTCAAACAAAAATTCAAACATTTTCTGGTTCCTGCTTCTCAAATGTGAGGATTTGCTCTTTTTTCTGGCCACATGATAGTGTTTCCAGTGTTTTTGCTAAGCTAAGCTAAGCTAAGATAAGCTAAGCTAAGCTAAGCTAACTGGTTGCTGAGTGTAGCCTTACTTTTTTTTTTACATAACAGATATGAAAATAGAAGCAATCTTCTCATGTAGCTCATCTCCACCAGAAAGCCACTGAGCTACATTCTCCCAAATTGTCAAAGTATTCCTTTAAACATTGACGCGGCCGGTGAATCACTGGTATCCCAGAGCAGACGCAGATCCAAGTCTTTGACTGTAGAGAGCGTAATGAGGGTAGTACGGGCCTGTGGTGGGCAGAGAGTGCAGGGAGATGGAGGAGGGGCCGGGGGGCAGGTGGACCTTACTGTAGGGGTGATAGCGAGCTAAACCCAGACTCGGGGGAGCCCTGAGAGAGAGGGAGCTGGACATGGAGCCCGGGCTGCTCTGGTGGGGGAGGTGAAGGTGGCAGGAGGCAGGTCCAGAGGAGGAAACAGAGAGCAGCTTACTGTCCATTCCCACAGGCAGCGCTGTGTGCGTGCGGAGGTGGGCCAGCAGCTCATCTGAGGTGGCGAAACGTTTGTCGCACGGCCCCCCGGCTGAGACCCAGTTGCAGGCGTGCGGCAGGGGGTCGTTCGGGAGCATGAAGCCGTACGTGTAGAGGGGATGGGAGAGGGAGGAGGACGCGCTGGATGACAGGGAGCTTTGGTGGAGGGAGTGGAGCGGGTGGGAGGGGTACACCAGCGGGAAGCTTGATTTGAGGGTGGAGGAAGGGTCGTGGATGCAGGAGTTGCAGTTGCTTCCTCCGAGGTGGGACACGCTTGGGTAGCTTAGACAGTAGGGGTCCCTGCATAAACCCTGCATGAAGGAAGGAGGGGAGGCGCCTGTGAGAGGGCTGGAGCTCGGGTGCTTCCCGGGGACCGCCATACTTCCCACGCTGAGGCCGGACTTTGTCGGGTCCAGCCCGGGAACAAACTGAGACGGGTATCCTGCGTAGGCCCCCACTACAGATCCGTGGTAGCCCATATTAGACGAGGGCAGTGGGAAGAGCGGCTGGCTTGTCTTGTAAGGAGAAATGGGTGTAATATGTCCGGGGCCGAGGTTGGGCTGGGCAGACTCAGCTTTACCCCCCTCGTGGTTGGATCCACCGTCAGAGCTGCCGTTACTGCAGTTTGTGCTGGCTCGGACGTGGCTGGAGTTTGCGTGGTGTGGACTGTCCAAGTTAACCTTGTTTACATCCGCCTCCTTTTTGGGATGATTGCTATTATTATTGCTGCTGCTCGTGCTGGTGGGACTGCCCCGCTCAGGTGCAGTCTCTCCGTTGGGAGTGTGGGGGTGGGACGTGGGCGGTCCCCCGGGGGACTGGCTCTGTTTGTGAGGCTGCTGCTGCTGCTGCTGAGTGTGTCCTGGTGGGGAGCCGCTTCCTGCTCGAGAGCTGGGTGAAGCAGCGTGGGGCGGATAGGACTGCTGGCCACCGGTTGAATTTCCGTTAGTGGAGACGTTATTGCTGGGTACTCTGAAACCAACTTTATCGCTGCTGCTGGTGACTCCGTCTCTGCGACAGTCCCCGCTGCCTTTGTTGTAGGGCTTGAAGCTTGACTTGTCCTCCAGGGAGGGGCGGTGCTCCCCGAGCTTCAGGTTGGAGACGGACAGCCGGCTGCTGGGCTCCTTGTCCCCCTGGCTGCAGGAGGAGCCCAGCTTGGATGAAGATGGAGGGTCTGGTTTACCAATCTGAGAGCAGGTCTGCGCCAGCAGGGCTAAAGGACTCTTCTTGGCATCCAGCTACAACAGAAATACAGACTCTGATTAGCTCCTAGACTTTGTTTCACTGTATTCTGTCCAAAGACATTTTGGCCTTCATGCAAAATAAACACAAACCGAAGGACAGTGATCCTCTGTGGTCAACTGGAGGCCTGTAAACTGACTTAAACAAGGGCTGCAACTATTATTCTCCTAATCAATTAATCTGACAATTATTTTTTCAATCAATAATTATTTCAGGATAAAATGTCAGAAAATAGTAAAAACACCCAACATAGTTTCTCAGGACTCAAGGATATGTCTCCATATTGATGGTTTCAGAGCTGAAACGATTAGTCGATTAATCGTTTAGTTGATCAACACGAAAATAATCACCAACTATTTTAGTAATCGATTATGTTTCATCCGTATTCAAGCAAAAACAGTTTTTAAAAGAATTTGTTGTTTTTATTTGTCATTTATCAATTTAAACTTTGGGTTTTGAGCTTCTGATTTAACGTTAACAAAACAAGAGTGAAGACTCCTCCTCAGGCTGTGGCAGCTATGACGAGTATTTTATTATATTTCACACTAAATGATTAATCGATTAAAAGAAATTACAGTTGCAGCCCTATGTTCTGTATTTAGTCTTACCAACAATCTAAAACCTAAAAAAAGCAGTTTATCATCATATATGACAAAGAAGAAACAGCAAATACTCAGCAGGGAATTTATCATGAGAAAAGTTGCCAGTTAATTTTCTGTCATTGATTAATCAATATTCGATGTATTGATCGATCCAAGGCTTATTTAACCATATAATGAAGTTCTCACTAATTGAGTGGGCTCATATGATTTACATATGATGTAAGTTGAATGATTATAACACAAGACGAGGTCAGTATTTGTTTGTTGTTTCATCACTTAATTACTCGGGTCAAAGTTGAACGTGGGGTCAAAGACATAAGATGGTTATTCTTTAATTTTTTATTTAATATACATATTTCTCAACTAGCTAATGAGGAATTCAAATTATGGTTGGGCTCTCTTTACATTTCCAGCACGCTGCTGTGAATCAGGATCAGGAATAGAAAAGATAAAGGTGTAAGATGGTGTAAAAACTAAAAGAGAGTAAATACCTCGATGCTGACTGGCGCGGACGTCAAAGGCTGTAAATATTCCGGGTGCAGCAAGTGTCCAGTGTGCGCGGTCAACATCTTGATGAGTCGGATAGGAAGCCGCTTAGCCTGCCGAAGTGGGTCCAGAGGGGTCAACAAAGAGACCACGGCACCGGGGCGAGAGTCTTCACAGTCGGTGATCTCACTGAGCACGATCCGCTTACTTTCACGATCCGCAGCTGATCCTGGAGGGAGATATTTCATGAGGGAGGGCGCTGCGCTTTGGTGTGTGTGTGTGTGTGTTGCGTTGGTCCAAAATATAGTTTTAAATGTTGTTGTAATCCATGAGTGTCCTTTAAGAATATAAATAAAAACACAGCTGGACGTCCTTAAATGTCCCCAAAGGACGGAGCAGCCTCTCAGTCCCGATGCATCTTCATCTACGGCTCCTACTCCAGTTTTTTATTTTTTATTTCAAACCATAAAGAAAAAAAAAAAATGAACAAAAAAAAAATAAACAAACAACAACAAAATCCACCGTGTGAGTCGCAGCGGGTCAAACAGACACTGTGGAGGCGTAAAACACCAGAGTCCACTTCACAGAGTCCGAGCGTGGAGAGGAAACGTCCCACTGCGTGTCTCCGGTCCGGACTTCAGCAGCTCACTGATCACTACAGGCGGACTTCAAAGTGAGGCAGCCGCTGTCTGTGCGCTGGGTGGCCGCATCGGTAATGAGGTGGGCGGGGAGAAGGTGCGTGAGGGCGGGGCTACGCCGTCCTCCAGCTGACATATACCAATACCCACTGCTTTCACCAATACTGTAATAACTCATATCTCACTCACTGCTTTTCTGCTGCTGAAGCATTAAATAGACGCGTACCAGAGAAGTACAAGTCACATTAATACACTGTATGTTCAACTTTGCACTGCATCAAGATTAAACCTGCATTTACTGATTTTTTGGCCACTTGGGGGCAGCACAAGGAACTGTTAACAGGACTGACATTCAGCAAAAGTGGGTGATACAAACATACAAATATTGGTGTCGATCTAATATCAATCAATACCTAGGGTTTAAAGCAGCTAATGTATCATGTAAAGGAGATAAATATATTATGATTTATGAGGTGAATACATTATTAACATGCTACTTCTGAAAATGATTTGCCAAACATGAGGTAATATTCTCTGTTAATTACTTACAGACAGATTGCAGTAATAAATAACAAATGTTCCTTATGTGAATTCTCTAAACTAAGGAGGTCGTCACCATAGACTGTAAATAAAGAGGGACGTAGCCTCCATAACAAGGTTATAATAGTTTTGTATTTTATATTAGTTTGTATTTTTATTTATTCATTTATTAAATTGGAAGATAGATTTCATATCCACCCAAAATACCAGGCTTTTGTATGAAATAAATTCACATTAAAACTAAAACTAAAGATTTTTTCTCTATAATTTTAGTTTATTTTAGTTTGTTTTGTAAACACAACATACAGTTTCATTTAGTTGTCTTTTCTTTTGTAAAACCTCGCTTTTATTTTTATTTTGGTTAACGAAAATGTTTTTTAGTTTTTATTTAATGATAATAACCTTGTTTCTGAACAGCGGTTTTGAAGCTCAGAGTGAGCTGCTCCGCCGTCGCCATCTTGGCAGTGGCTGATTCCTAGCGCCTCCTAACTCCCGGCTAATCCAAAAATAGGCAAGATGGCAAACATCTGCTCCCATTAGCATTGTTAGCATAGCTAGGCAACTGGGTGTCTCTTTTAACGCTGAACACAAACAAATTCAAAACAATTCAGTTACAGGCCAGAAACCAAAACAGTGAGCTGAGAGACTTTAAAAGGGAAGGGGACACCGAGGGGAACTGCAGGGCTAACTCTCTGTGAATGTTTGTGCCAAATCTGAAGACCCTTGCGGCGGTCTTGAAACGTCTTATTCAAGAGGCCAAAAACACAGAGATGAAAATCAGAGATTAAGATCTGCTTTATATTTGTGTTTTCATAGAAGCTGATCACAATTCTCAGAGTTTTCATTCTGAGAAATACACAAATTAAACGTAACTATAGGCCATTCCCCCGGTCAACAGATAACAGATATTTATTCATAACTTTATATCATGACCTAAGTTATTAGGAGAATAATTGGGGTTTTATATCATGTTTGTTGATGTTTTGGTCATTATTTCTCTTTTATAATAAATTTGATTCTGCTTCCTGTGCTTCAGGTGTGTTTTGGGTTATTCTTAACAGGAATATAGCCGTGCTTGTTTATGCAAAGGGTGAAAAAAAAATCCTCCAAAGAATAATACATTGATTTTGATGGACAAACTAAACAGCATTAGTGTTTTATGTCTGAGATGTAATCCTTCTCTGTGAGGCAGAATTATACCATCTATGGTTTGGTCGAACAGGAGATGCATAAACAAAAAGCATTGATGTCAACCATGATTAAGAGAGAAGCTCTGACCCCACAGTTGTTTACGGGTTTGGTACAAAACAAACAATGTGTGGACCACAGATCATGAGGATAAATCTCAGAGTGCAGCTTTAAATATGTTAAACGTCAGATATTTGACATATGAGCACGCAGTAGTTAAATCCCAAAGGGTAGTTGAAATGAAACCACGCAATCATAAACATGTGGGGATCTAAACTTTGCTCAAAATGTCAGATAGGATCGTACAAATTTCCCTCTCATGAAACTTGGATCTAAGACCGGGAACTTTCACTGACCAGGAGTCCACAGAGAGCGATGCTGTGAGTGTACTGGGATGCGGTGCATAAACCCCTTATTAAAACTAAAAATGCTCTTTTGTGAGTGTAATGATGCAGAGAACAAAGTCAGCGAGCGGTGGAAACAAGTCATATGGTCACATGAGTCATCCTTCACTCTGCTGTCAACAAGCAGATGAGTACATGCAGGGCAAACACTAAAAAAGGGTTTACTGGTCCAGATGCTCGTGTTTCATAGCTCAGTGTAGTTCTAGCACAGAGATTTTCAAACTGTCAAAATCCTTCTCTGAGTCATAACTGAAATAAATCCACTTAAACATCATAATAAAGACAAATCTCCCTATAACTCCACAACCTGCCTGAGAATAGTCAAATACTTTCTTCTGTATCAAAAAATATGAAATCCAGTGATGGTTGTCTGTGGGTGCACTGCAAACAGGAGCTGCTAATAGCTAATTCAGCAGTTTTAAATCAGGACAATTTGGTAAAATGTGAAGAAATACAGGCAAAATAACGGGGTGCATCAATGCACTTCTTGTTTGCATTTCCCCAAGCCCCTAAATTATTCACTATCAATACGTCTGAGTTGACAAATTTTTCTTTCCCTCACTGTGTGACTGTGAAAACGCCAGTTCTAGAGGAATTAAAATGTTCTGTACCTATTTCCACTTTTGTCAATTTCAGCATGATTATTGCAGTTCCTGTACATGTCATGTTCCATATAAGTCTGTTACCACAACACACGCATGTACTGTACAGGATGTTCTCTCACTCTATATAGGTGACAGGACAAAGACGTGAAGGTCGCTGACAGATGCACAAACAGGAAAAGTCACATATTTCCTAAATGCTTAATTCTAAACCTTCTAAAGTTCACACACCTGTTTACGAGGTGTCCCGCATTGTGTCGCCATCAGGACAATTTGGCAACTTGTCACATAGCGACCTGCAGTATCAGACAACTAGTCGTGCTGTTGTTTAGATGTAAAGCTCAATGCTGCTTCATTATTCTATTGGGGCCTTTAAAGACACAAAGTCTTTCTTTATTAACAATTTTCTTTTAACCTTTTACTGAAAAAGTTCAGGTATGCTTTTAATTTTACATGTCATGGTGACAAATCATTTGTCTTTAGCTTTTGCTCTGAGCACACAAAAAAATCAATAAAGTACACAGAACATGTCACACTAGAGTCTATTTTCTTTTATTAATTTATGCCATTTTTACCAGTGAAGAAAAATGTGATAAAGACAGATCGCCTCTATATTAATGGTTCTATAAATCTGGAATGTTAATGACTTTATTGCATTACCGCCTGCTGACTGACTTTGCAATGAGCTAATTTTGCTAACCTAATTATACAATGAATTGGTTAAAGTACTTAAAAATTACGGCTGACAAGAACTATTAGCAGCAGCCCAAAATAGTCTGAGTCTGAGGGGCTTTGATTCTCTGAATCCTTCGCAGCCTCAATTGAGAGCAAAATCATTCCTAATCCCTCATTACCTGTGGGCAAAAGGCTGCATAATGTGAATTAGCTGATGGATATTTGTACATGTCTCGCAGGGTCCTCCTTAATCTTCAAAAAGCAACGGTTAACTCGAACATGCAGTTTATTTTGAAAATTCTCTTTTTAAGATTTGTTACCGTTACCTCGTTACCCATCTGAAATCAGCATTAAGTCCCTGTCAAAAAAAACAAACAAACAAACATTTGGTTAAAGTAACTGTCGCCTTGACCTCATGCCCTAAACAGCAGAGCTGCTACTCACAGCCATCCATCAATGTCCCATTTGAGATAAGAAGCTGAGAGTGGGAGCACCATCTCATCAGGAAACAAGGTCACAGCCTGCACCACTGTAGAGGAGACAGCCCTTGTGTGGCTTTGGGGGAAAACAAAAACAGCAGGAGCAGTGGTTTGACTTTCAAGTGCTGGTACAGTACAGTAGTTGTTAGTGTACAGCCACGGAGCTAGAAGGTGCATTAATAATTAAAAGAAAAAAAAAATGCATTAAATTAATCAATACATCTGCACAGTATTTACCAGTAACTGCTCTTGCGGTTTTTCTTGCCTCTCAGATCTATATCTAAAAGATTTAGTATTTGTGTGAAGTGTGCAGTAGATGAAGATTCATGGCACCAGGAAGCTGAAGGGCTCCGGAGAAAGTCAGAAAATAAAGTAGGTATGTATCATTCAGGGGCACAAGGACAAAAAAGTCACTGACGAGGTCATTTGTTAATTTGTCCCAACATAACAAATAAAGTCAATAAAACTCAGATTATCCTGACAAGCTGCTTTGATTTGTTATTATTGTATATTAGGCTCTTACGGATGCCAATCACTCCAGGTTCAGTGGCCAAATTTAGCAACTAAACTAAGCAACGGTCATTTTCTTAATGTCAACAATGGATCACGTACTTCAGAGGCGTCGCCTGTGAATAATCACCCACTTCTGCAGTTTGCTTCAGCTTTAGGTTTATTGTCTTTTAGCTCATTATTTTTGGTTTTCTGTCCCTCAACTTTCAGTT